AATGTGAGTTATGGCTGTAATCGTTCTGCCTGATGGATTCCACGCAGAATCACTGGTTTGAATGTCTATGACACAATGCAGCCTTCTTCAATGGATCGAAAAGCCGCGGGGGCGTCAAGCTGGCGCGCACCATTATTGTCTTGTGATTCAACGAAAATTCAACCCTCAGTGCTGCGTCGACATTCAGCGGATCAGGTGGTCGGTTCGAATTTACTGTCATCATTCCAACCATCGGACATCTATTCCCTTCCACGCTTTGAATCTGGGTCCACAGGAGGTCTGTCAACCAATATTGACATTTTCGCCATTCAGAATTTCTGGGGTGCATACTTCATTTCTCCGCGGTTCAAGAATGATCACAAAGACATGCTCGACCGATCACCTGTTGCTGAGCGCCGAACAATTACGAGGAAATTGACAGGCACATTTTACACCTGTGTTTCGTGTTCTCAGAATTTCGAGCATCATTTTGGGCAACGGCGACATTTTCTCCTGTGCAGCCCACTCAACTCGATCGAGTCCCAGGGCGGAAATTCTGCCAAGTTCATTCGTTCGGTGCGCAGCGTTGCCGGTTATAGACTGGCATTGTGCGTGGTGGTTGAATATATGCACGTTGGGTGACATGTGGGCTAGAAGGCACGGGTTCAACTATGCTCAATGCAAACTGAGCATTTATATCAACTAGGAGTCGTGCATGCTTTCAAGCTTGGTGTTTAGACAATTCTTACGTCCTGGAGCTCCTGGTCAATAAACTAATAATCAAAAATCGTTCGGTTGGGAACGTCTGCTGGCGGCCATGTGAGTCAATATCCTTGGTACGTCAACGCGTTGATTTTGACACTAGTTGGATAACTGCGTGAACGTTGTACAATACGAAAATGCCGCATATATGCAGGCGTCATGTTCGTCAACGTGTCAACAGCCGCCCACACGAACAAAGCCATCGCTGTTCCTGAAAATTTGCCTAACCTTTGTGAGAGAACTCAATCGTTTTAGTCGGCCACGCGCTATTGGCGGCGAACTTGGTTCTGTCAGATTTCCCATTCAAATTCGATACAGCAATCGTCGGCACGTTCGGAATTGGTTCCTTGAGAGATCCAATAGAAATTTGATAGACTGGCAATTACTGGTTGACTATCCGTAAGGATTTTAGAAATTAGAACCAATTCTAAATGCTTTCAGCTGTCATTGAAGGGTCCTGGGCGTGACACGAAGCCGAACCGGCACGAACCAGCTGTGGCAACGGGCGATGCTTGATGTAGCGTATTATGTCAGGTTGGAATTACAAGTATGGAGTAACGGATACATAGCCGAGTCTCAGAATGGAAAGGTGCCATCAAATTCGCGATTTAGAGACGGTTGGGAATCTACAGAGGCTGGTTGACCCCCTCTGTAAGTTGTTGGTTTACGAATGACAGGTTTGTGACGACTTCGTGACAACCGGACCCTTTGTTGACGTCGGCATGTCCGGCACGGTGGTTTTACAGCGAAATTATGGATTTAGGATTTTCTAAATCCTTACGGAAAGTCAACCACTGGTTGACTATCCGTAAGGATTTTAGAAATTAGAACCAATTCTAAATGCTTTCAGCTGTCATTGAAGGGTCCTGGGCGTGACACGAAGCCGAACCGGCACGAACCAGCTGTGGCAACGGGCGATGCTTGATGTAGCGTATTATGTCAGGTTGGAATTACAAGTATGGAGTAACGGATACATAGCCGAGTCTCAGAATGGAAAGGTGCCATCAAATTCGCGATTTAGAGACGGTTGGGAATCTACAGAGGCTGGTTGACCCCCTCTGTAAGTTGTTGGTTTACGAATGACAGGTTTGTGACGACTTCGTGACAACCGGACCCTTTGTTGACGTCGGCATGTCCGGCACGGTGGTTTTACAGCGAAATTATGGATTTAGGATTTTCTAAATCCTTACGGAAAGTCAACCACTGAGGTGATAGTTTTGACACAGCAACGCGAGACATGCAAGAGACGTGTAACGGAGTTAGGCGTACCGAATATGGCAGCATCGGCTAATTCACTGGCTGCTGGAACAGCGACTTTGAACGAGATACGGCTGGGTCGACACCTTTGCCATCAATGGGCGGCTTGGGTTTCTGGATATCTCAGCGCTGGGCAACTACTTTAACGACTCGGCGATGATCGCCCGATTTGTCCACTTTGAATGCAAGGAAGCCTTGTACGTGATTCCGCCAAATTTTTGACCAACCAGATCAGTGTGATTCAATTGAGAAACGTAACAAGTACCTAACCATTTTCTCGGTTCGAAAGAGATCATCCGCACATGTGGTGGCGGTGGTATATAACGCGCCACCTAACCGCTATGATTCTTCGCGAACCTACTGGTCGTCTAATCCCTTTGGCTTATCTGGCTTTTCAACTATGGGAACCGAATCCATCGACGAGAAGTACATCTCGGGCAGCTCTGATGACTTGACCAACGTGAATCCCGAGTTGTTGAAGGGACTCGATGTTACGATTGGCATTGCCGCTGGCCACGCCAACGACGACGTGATGTCGCCGAAAGAGGCTCAACGCATTCGGAGGAAGCTGGACTGGCATCTCCTTCCGCTGCTCTTCTTTATCTACACACGTATGTGATGCTAAAAAAAATTGTGGCTCGAGACTGACGCAGTCGCAGTGCAAAATGTCGACAAGTGAGGGGATGTTGTGTCTTTGTTGGGATGTCACTCACGATTTATGCAGAGGAACTATAGCAGCGTCTTCGATTCTTGGCCTCATTAAAGATAACCATCTCACAACGAACGAGTTTAATAATTTGAACTCGGCGTTTTTCATTGGTGAGAGGGTGCATTGAATGTTAGCCATTCGCTGACACGCTTGTTAGGTTATCTCATTTTCCAATTGCCGCAAAATTGGGCATTGCAGCGATTCCCAGCCGGTAAATGGATTGCGTGTAACCTTTTCTTGTGGTAGGTGCAAATGACGGACGTATGGACGTGTTTTCACTGTTGTCAGGTCGTTATTTTTGGGACTGATGGCGACGTGCCACAATTACGGAGGACTTTGTGAGCAATCTGTCAAATAAATTTATTGTTTAGCTGACATGCCACGCAGTTACGCTTCGATTTTTGCTCGGGGCGTCGGAGGGTTGCATGATTACTGGTAAGGCATGTTTGGTGTTATGCTCGGTGTTTTCTGACGGCGACAGGTATAATGACAATAACGTCCATGTTCTATACGAGGACCGAGATTGGGGAGCGTCTTGGATGGTGAGTAGGCGATGGATGATTGCAATCCGTACTTACGGTGGCCTAGGATCTTTCAATGCAATGGCGTTGGCGTCATCGTTTCTGGATTCCTGTCTTTTGGCGTTTTCCACGCCGACCCGAAGAAGCACCCGAACCAATGGCAGTGGCTCATGATCACGACCTCCTTGATCACATTCGTGTGCTTTATTCTTTTCGTGCTATTTTTCCCCGACAATCCGGCAAAGGCACGATTTTTGACGGAGGACGAAAAACTGAAAGTCGTCAAGCGCATCCAGATAAATCAGATGGGGATCGAGACGAAGCAATTCAAGAAGAAACAGTTTATTGAGGCCCTCACGGACGTCAAGTGTTGGCTATTTGCCCTTGCCGCCGCCATTGCGTGAGTCGCGGGGAGTTTAGTGTATTTTTACTGCTAACGTGGCCGTTCCAGTGTGCTCCAAAACGGCCTTTCCGTGCAGTATGCGCTTATTATTAAGTCGTATGGTTTTACGACTCTGCAGACCACGCTTCTCAACATTCCGTCTGGTGCCGTGCAAATCATTGGCATTACATCGTGTGGCTACATGCTGCGAAAGTTTCCGGTAAGACATTGCGAGTTGATGCGATGCGAGTTTTTAACAGTGGTTTAGAACTCGCGCGCATGGCTGTCTATATTCTGGTGGCTGCCTTCGTTGGCAGGCGCCTTTGTCCAGTTGTTTTTGCCATTCAGCAATAGGGTCAGTGATTGGATACATGTTTATGCCTGAGACTAATATGCAAATAGAATGGGCACTTGATAGCCATTTATATTATCAGTGCGTGAATCGCAACTGTCATGAATCACCGCTGAATATTCTCTAGACCTTGGGGCTGCACCTTGCTTCGTCATGATGATGTCGTGGGTGACATCGACGAACGCTGGTCACACCAAGGTGCGACTGAAGCTGATCCACCACTGCCACTGCTAACGATGTGATGTAGAAATTGACGGCGCATGCCATGTTCCTGGTTGGCTATGCGCTAGGCCAGATTCTCTGCACGCAATTCTGGAAAAAGAAATATCAACCCCGTGATATCGTGCCGTGGACCATCACGGTGGTGAGTAGGCCGCTAGTGGTGCTGTAACCTTCTGATCAACGTCGCAGGTCACGTACTGCGTGGATATTTTCCTCGTTCTTGTTATCCGATATGTCTTGGTGACGGAAAACAAACGCCGCGATGCACTGCAAGCCGAAGCGGAGGCGTCTGGCAAGTCTCTCGACGAATTCAACGATCTGGGATACCTGGACACGGTCGACGCGACGGGCAAAGCGGTTCGCGTCAAGGTGGAACGTGGCTTGATGGACGTCACAGACAGGGAGAATCTCGCTTTCCGGTATGTTTTGTGAGGCGGCGGTGGCGGCGCGGCGACAGCCGCGACGACGACGACGACAAACACGAACTGTTAGTCTGTATGCGACTCGGGGATATAGTTCTCCATCGGTTACCTTGCAAGCTGTAGCGTTCGAGGCTGTATAATCAAATAATTTCTCATCCTAAATGTCCGCAATCTCGACTCGCCTCGCTGGCAAAAAGACCAGGCGTAACATGGTTCGAACACGTCACCGCAATCCCATTCTGATGTGTGAGGCGACGACAAGCACAAGCGCTATTCTGTATGACGAGCCTGGTAGTTTCGCCATCGTTTACCTTGCAAGCTTTACGCCCAAACCTCGGGGGAAAAAATTGCCTGCTCATCCTCTCCCGGCCGCTCCGCTCGTGCGCAAAACGACAGGTCGCAACGTGGTTCGAACACGTGACCTTAGGATCTGCAATCCCACGCTATACCACTTAGCTTATGCTTTCACAAAGTATTTATTATGACGCAGCGACGACAAACACGGACCTTAGTTTATAGTCTGCATGCCAGTCATTTGCCTTGCAAGCTTGAAACGTAGGTGTGTAATCAAATAAAAATATTTTTTTCCCAATGCCCGTGACAAAAAACTCGCTCCGCTCGTCTCGATTCAACAACACTTGCCCTCGCTGCGCTCCCGCGCAAAACAACAGGTCGCAACGTGGTTCGAACACGTGACCTTAGGATCTGCAATCCCACGCTATACCACTTAGCTATGCGACCATTTCATTATATTCAATTCTGGACATGTTATATCAAGGAGGGAAGTTGGAGAGTTGAGAAATGAGCAAGAAAACAAGAAAACACAAAAGTTGCCACAGTTGCCACTTCAAATAACAAACCACAACAAGTTCAGCCACACGTATGAGTGACGTGAACATGTCTAAAGTGACTTGTGGTTGTGGTGAAGCAGGGGGATGTGTTTGGCAAGTCTGACGAGGAGGAGAGGAGGGTTGGTAGTCATTGTAGCGGTGACCACAAAACCAGTACGTCAACTCATATTAATGGCTCCAAAAGTAAACAAATACACTCATATTACATCCCCCCTTCATTCGATAATGCTTCGAAGTGGTCCCCGGAGCGTTGTGCAAAGATATGAAGAGGCGGAAAAGGAGTCACTTCACGCCACATCGACGCTTTGGGCAAGTGTGACAGGCGTGACAAGCGTAACCTGCTTTCTCGCACACTCGCGTCGACAAAGTCAACATGAAGCACCCTTGCCGTCCCTCCCAAAGCCTTGCCCATCGATGACCGAGTCATCGCGAAAAGCAACGGAGCAACCCTTTCAGGCAACACAACAAACACCCGTCGAAAGTCTTGGAGGCTATTTTTGGCGCGACACAACTTCTACGACGATCCCTTCGAACGTACTCAACTTCTTCTTCCTCAAAGTCTTCTCAAGTTCTCGATACCATCAATGCATCATCAAGAACATTTGGTGAGGAAATTACTCAAAGTTGTTGTGGATGATGATTTTCAGAACCGTCGTGTCGTGGCCCTCTCGCGGAAAACGGCACGCAGGAGACGGACGCCCGAAAGGCCAGACCACAGCTCGCAATAAAGGGTAGAATAGGTGAGTCCATATTCACTCACTATCAACCAGTCACTAACACATCTCCTCAGTGATGTACCAGTACGGATACCTTATACAATGTTTTTCATCACCGTTACTGTGAGCGGGACCGACATCCGTGTTCCGCGGAACACCGCGGCTTTGCAAGTGGCGGGATTGTGGCGGGACGATGTTGCCCACGTGTGATGACGCGCAGGCCAATTGAAGGCCAATTCCCAAGTCGCGTCGTCGTGGACGCGTCTTCCCGTCACTCACTCTCATTAACGAACACTCTCACTCATTCACCATGTCCAAATCATTTTTTACTTCATTCTTTACGGTATGTACTTTACTTATTACGCGTAAAACACGCTAAACTTACCCTCATTTCAGCCCAAACCTCCGACGCACAACACCACCAACTCGGATGACACGCAGCCATCATCCGATGCCGGTCCTTCGCAGAAACGAAAAGCACACCACATCAACACGCAGCCAAGCACACCAGCTCATGGGAGCAGCAAAACAGTCCGCAAAAATTCCAATAAACGAGTGAAGAAACTGGGTGCACAAGAGCGGTTAGATGGATATTTTACAAAGGTGTGTTTCATTACCCTCACGCGCTAACTTGATCCAACGACGTCCACAGAACGAGAAAGCAGCCTCAACCAGCACGATTAATGACGCCATACTCATAGACGACGACGACGACGACGACGAGGCGCAAAACGCCTCGACCTCTTCAACCACTCTCCTCAACAGCAACACTTCCCAACATGACACGATAAATTACCACTCACCAAATGCATTCGATATTGAAGACTCGATTATAATCAACGACAACACGACGCCACCATTTATGCAACGCAACGTAAACACTTCACGACCAAACACATTCTCTAATTCATTAGACAAAGAAATAAACCAAAAATTTGCCAAGGTGTGTAGGCGAATTTTGGTCACTAATCAACAATGCTAACCTCCCATTCTAGACTGTAAATGGTATTAATTCAAGCACCACTCACGAAGACGAAGTCGATGTGACAATGCTCGACGATACCGTCCCACCCAGTTCGCACCTCTCAGAAGGCGTAACTGTTATAAGTGATAATGAGGTTGAACGGAAGGTACGAGTGCACTTATATGCGCGGTCCATTTGCTAATCTGACTTCTAGGATATTGATGATGCCACGGACACGGTCCGTACGCGCATACAATATGATTTTATGCTGCTAACTGTCGTTCCAGGCTAAGTTTACTGCAGGCAATGTTGAAGTCAGCACTCTGAAAGCCGCCAAAGGCAAGACAAAAAAGGTGCAGTGTGTTTAATTTATTCTTCCTCTCGGACTTATTTTATTGCAGCCACGCAAGGCGCGCTGCAAAGATCCCGACGCTGAGGTAAAGAAAGAGATCAAGAAAGCGGCAGTCAATAAGAAGCGAAGAAAGGATCGTAAGAAGAAAGACGGCCCGTACATGCTCAGGAAGGCGGCAAAGAAAGCGGCGCGGGCTGAATGCAGCGACGCTCTCGTCGCGCAGGTTTTGGCTGACATCTTCAATGAGGGTGCTCGTCGCTTCCTTGCCGTCCGCGCTATCACCCCTGCCAATACACCAAACACCGTCGATCGTGTCAAGGCCGTTGTCGCAACCGCTCGCGCTCACGATCTGATGGAGTGCATCAATGACGACAATGAACTCTGGGAACACGTGAACCCCGCCATTGACCTCCTTGCTGAACTGCATGAACACCCCCTCTCAATCGACATCGAAAGCCTTCTCCAGCGAGGCTTAATCTCACCTGTGGCACGAAATGATCGAACTGAAGCTGTTTTTTACGTTCGCGTCGCAACTTTTGAGAACATCGTTGCCTTTCAAAACGCTGTGTGGCAATACATGGATCACTTCCCTGCCGACCTACCTTTGGCTGTCACCTTACTTGCACTCACGGACACCCCGAATCTTGAGAATATCTTGGCCACCACTTTTCAAAGGATCAAGCATCGGTCATCTGCCGATATTTTTTGGAACTCAATTAAAGACAATATATCCTTGCTCAAGCTCCCTCTCTGCCACTCTGCACCGCTTCATCTTTGCTACTTTGGCTACTCAATCGCTGGAACTGCTGCTACACGAATGGTCGATGACCTCAAATCAAAACATCGCCGTTTCTGCAATTTTTCGCAATCGGTTAATAATTGCGTCTTTACTGAGTATGAAATCCCTCGGCTCAGCCTCCAAACCCCCCACATCCGCATGTCTCGCCTTCTGAGTCGAATCGAAGCAACTGGTGTCGATTGTATACCTATTGGTCTCAACTCGAGCCGAGGCGGCGGCGATGTCTTCCCTGCTTTTTCACCTCCTCAAGAGGATAAGACTGTGGTAGAAGCTGCTTTCTGTGCCGCAGGAGATGTTGACTTAGGTTCAGACACCGACGACGCTCTATCAGCAAAGCTCCGCAAGTCGTTTCGCGATGAATCAAACTTCTGGAAGCATCGAAATTTTCCTGGCCCATGCATCACTGAGGGGTCACAGCCGTTCGACGATGCCGTTCGCATGGCCGACGTTCAAACATTGAAGGGTCGAATCACACGCGTTACGGTGATGAAAGACACCACTATTGAGGCGATAACAGGAGCAGCAGGTGGTTTAGGCGAGGACTCAGCCGGCAAGGCGTTTCAAATGGCGGAGCGCATGATAAATCTCATAAAGCCTCATACACCCACTCTGAAAGCGCTTGGTCCGCATGTGGATGTCTGGAGACTGGTTCCAACATCGGCATCACTAGAACTCTGCAGCATGTTTCTCAGCCGCTACTTGTGCACCGTCAAGCCCCTCTTCGTCCCGTCGTGGTCCGACATTACTGCATATTGCCTGCGTTTCGGCGCTCTCGGCAATATACCCATCTTCGACACTGAATCTCAAGAGACATTTTATTCTGGTGTGTCCCCTGCGCAGCTTGACCAGCTCCCTCTAATGATGGAGGATGAACCTCCGACTTTCCCTCGCGGAACATACCTTCACGAACTGGGCATGCTTGTCATTTTCGCATACGGTTCTGGGGAGACCGATCTAGCGCTTACAGTTGCAACACGCCATCCCGGGTCAATCAAATATGACCCGATACTGGTAGGAGACTAGAACCCGCCGTTTAATTGGTTACTGATTTGTTCTTATAGGCCGCGCTCCGGATGCGTCTGCAATTTCTACTGCAGGTACTCATTGAAATTGTATCGATTGTTGTTGCATGCTATCATCTAGAACATTCCATCTCTCGCACCTCTCGCGTCACACTCGAGAACCAGCTCAACGACATCCGCAGTAGAACACATCATTACGACGTCAGGTTTACGTGCCGCCATCGACAACTTAAAGGCAATCCTTGGTCCTCGGGAGACAGTATTAGCACACCTGCGTCACATTTCCGGTGAAGCTGATGAGGACGAGGGAGATTCAGATGGCAGCGGGGAGGAGGACAAGGATGCAGACAGCAGCGACGATAAAGACTTCGTCGCTACAGTTGATTTTATACGCAGGCGCCCAGGTGTTATAGCGGCTACAGGAACCGCTGCTCGCCGTGCTCAGCTCATCCAGCTTCGACAGGAGGAGAACGAACGCATTCGGTGGGGAATTCCTCCAAATTCCCTTCACTTCATTCCCTTCCAGATGGATATCAACAGCGCCGAATTTGCGCAGTGGCTCATGGGTCGCCGCGATGGCATCAATCTCGTTTATTCTGCGAACGCACTAGGCCGCAGTGCCACTGCTGCAGAGGAGCTCAAGGCTAACACGAGAGCACTCAACGCACTCAATCATGCTCGCAGACTCTCTCGTGATGTGGCGGGCATTCGAGTACGAGAACTCCAGAGTCGGCAGACTCTGTTGAAGACAGCCGTTCGTGAG